TGATACTGATCAAATTTGAGACAGTACTAATAGTGTGAAGATATATTTAAATTCAGTTAATATTTCACTATTTGATATGTGACATTTTTAACATGTACTTTTCTACTTTATTATATTTCAATATAGTGAACTAGAGTTATATTTTTAATTGGAATCCATTACGGTCACTTTTTTTTAAGTTACTGAAGTCTATGCTTCTTAGTCAGGTAGCTTTTGCTTATACCCTTTCTTTACTACACATTTAATACATTTATTTCATGGCTTTAAGTTATAATTGACGCTCATTTTGGCTTACATTTTTTTTCACATTACTTCAGTTACTACCTAAAACTTTAGGAAATTAAATTAAATCCCAATGGGTTGCACTGGAAGAAAATAGTATACACTGGATATTGAGAGGTTTTATGTAGGATGTAGGCTAGATCAAACTTGTGCAAGTGACACTCTCTGTTATGATAGTACGCCTAAATATGTTGATTTTTTCCAAAGGGTCTGTTAAAATATGTCAACATGAAAATATTAGTTATAAAACTGCAGTGCCCGTAATGTTTTACAGAGTATAACATCCAGGAGAATTTAAAACTACACAAATCTGTTTCTAAATTTATATTGGATATTCTCAGATACCTCATTAACTTGAAATATATCATCAAAAAATTTGTGTTAAAACATATCTGTAGTAAGGTTATTACACATTCTATTATAAGACTGTTAAATATTCAAACTGTTTTGAGTGTGTATATTTAAAAGGATAGCATTGACTTCACAATTTCACTTTGGACATACTTGTGCATCTATATTTTCATTTCAAATGTGTATTCATGATATCACTCCATGGTGTGGACCCTGGCAGCTAAGGAATTGATTTCCCAAGCATTCCTAAACCAAAATCAACATAAAAGTCTGTGGCTCATATCATTAAACCAAACATTATATATTTAAATGTATGCATTGCAAGTTTCAGAAAGAAAGGAATGTGCCTTTTACACCTTTGCGGTGGCCATCAAATTGCTTTTTTGACTCTCAAAATTATTTATACAAAACTTGCACACATGAAACAAGTATTTATCTACGCTGGTATATGCATAAATGAAAAAGGCTGTGGGACCACAACAGGGTCCCCAACTAGAAGTCAGCCATAACTTTTCTATGTGATTACTGGCTACAGTGAATCTGGAAATAAAGAATTGCTGTTGGAGTTTAATGTCTTCATAGGCTTTCAAACATCTCTGGGACTAGAAAGATACTATAGAATTTTGCAAACAAGAGAACTTTTTTCCTAGTTGTACAGCACGTTTTTAGAGAAAAAAAAAAACGCATGGGAAACAAGCAAATGCATCTTTTCATTATTAATTTGTGTCAGGAATGAAGCTGTCTCCAATCTAATATCAGTTTGAAAAGGATTTCAACTCTTGATATTTCTCTTTGCCAATATATCTACATGAGTTTTTCATATAGTTTTTATGGCCGTAGAAAAATTTTGTATAAACCATGTTATATCTTTTAATATACATAATGTTTGACTATATTTTTACCCAGGAAACACTCATACATGCTTAGACATTCAAATCTCTTAGTGAACAAAATTTAAGGGTCTCTATTTCAAAATTAAAATGGATGGATTTCCATTTTTGTTTCTAAAAGCATTTATAATTTATTTTGGGATTTCATTTAGTACAACTGAAAAAATTCAATAATGCAAACTACTCAACATTGATCAGTATAGTGAGAGTTAGATATTTAGATGCAGATAATCTAACTTTTCTTCTGGTTTCATTCAACTACCTGAGCTCTGTTCAAGCTTGCATACTTTTGTCATAATTTTGGTGAACGAATTAAGATAACAGTAACTTAACAAGTAATCGATTATGGGTTAATTATGTAATACTTGAAGAGATGATTATGAGGCCTTAGGTTAAGCGATTAATAAGCCTAACAATTATGGTAGTTTGATAACTACATGCACACTGCTAAGAGTGAAATAGTTCATGCTGCTTTTAAGAAACCTTTGTTCCTGAAATGAATTCTTGGTTCCAAATTTTGTCTCTTTTGAAGCTAAAGGCAAATGAACCTGCTACAATGTGGAATTGGTTTCACTAGTAGTAGCACATATATAAAAGAGCAAATAGTAAGCTAATATATGTCCTTCCATTATATTATTAGACATTTCTAGTATCCTGCAGGAAGGTTTATATGTTACTAAGCATTTTATAAGTGTTTAAAGCACATTTTTTTAAAACAAGTTCAAATCATTTATTTATGAATGACAATGGCTTATATAGAGCTAACATTTTTCATATTTGCCTATGGAGCTAACATTTTTTATATTTGCCTATGGAAATCTATTGCTCTTTTTCCTATATACTATCATCTTAATTTTTCTTTCAAACTATCTTATCCCTTCTCTCAGAGCATGAGGATCCTGTGGAGCTGACCGTCTTCCTGTACATAGACTGAATGGTCTGTGATCCAGGCTTGATCACATTGCTTGGTTCAGTAATTTCCAGATGAACTAACCCTTAACATCAGACTCCAATTTACAGCTTTCGCTTCTTGAGTTCTTCACGTGGCAGTTTTTAAAGCTGGAGCTTCTGGTAGCCAGTTTGTTATCATGAAGGCTGAGAGTCTATAACAGAATCTGTACTTTGAGAAAAGCATAGCTGTGAGAAGGAATGAGAAGATACCTAATGACATTAGACTCACTGAATCCAGCACAGCAAGAGGAAGAAAAATTCCAGACTCTTCAGTTATATGAGTTAATAAATTCACTCTGGGTTGAATTTCTGTCACGTACAACCAAAAAGTCCAGCCTAACATACTCAGTAACCTACTTCAAGTAGACTTCTTTCTTAGATAATTTTATAGGGTTGATGTATTAAAATTATCAAAAATAACCCTATAGTAGACTCATTTTTCTGTACATATTATTTATTTATTTCTATTACTTTGGGGGTTTTCATGGATGGACTGATATCTGTCAATATCACAAACTTATTCTTTGAAAAGGGTAATTTATATTGCCTGGATTCACTGTCCACTAATCATATTTATATTTATTTATTTTTTTCTGGATTCTTGTATCTTTTAAAGAATTTTTCATAGTATTCTTCATGTTTCAAGATAGCTTATGTCATTTAAAAAAATCTCATTGTCTTTTAGCATTGTATAATATATTTTTTGGCACTGTCTTTTAATGCACTAATCTCTCTTCATTAGTCTTTAAACTGCTAAGTCATTGACTTCCTCATGTCCATTATATTTTTGTGTTCTAGAAGTTTAATTTGATTATTTCTAAATATGCCTCATTTTTTATAGTCTTATTTGTTGATCTCTCATAATTGTAAATTTTTTTCTTAATTTCTTCAACTTTACTTTTTCAAACATTAAACTTACTTAATTTATGTTTTAACTGATTTTATTTCCAAAATTTTTTTTTTTTGAGAGTTTTAGTCTGTTGCTTTTTTGTTTCTACGAATGTTGGGTTTCTTCTAGTGTTTCTGTGCTTTTTATCTCTGAGTTCATAATCATTGAGACTTTATCTATGGAAATATGCTGAAAGTTGGGTTTAAGAAATTGCTATAAGCATCATTTGAACATGGGTCTTTGAACACATGAGACCTAATATATGATAACTTTAAACTATATTTTTATCTTTGGCTTATAAAGCAGTGGTTATAAGTTATGTGTATTCTGTATCCATATCTGAGTGAGGGCTGGTTTGTAGTTAATAATTCTCAGGGAAGACTTTTTGTTTTGCCTTCTAGTAGCCAAGTCCAGTATAGGCAAGTTTCCTTTCCATGCTTTCTTTCATCCACCCCTGTCCCTTTAAGGAAAGTATTTCTTTTTGGTTTCAGTTGTTTTGTTTAAAGTTCTTTATCTGACTTCCCACCTATGCGAGGTTCTTGGCTTTGTCTGGTCTCTGTAGGTCTCAACCAAACAGAGATTGTTCAATGCCCTGGGGCAGCTTTAAGGATTAGCACTGTTTCCTCAATGAATTCACATTTTCTCAACATTTTTAGCCTCTACGGAGTACCTCAAAATTTTTGCCAATTCATCTATGTAATGCATTTAAAGAGGATTATAAAGTGTATTTTATCCAGCAATATGAGGTATTCTATATACCTTAAAAAGAAATAGGTATACTAAACCATAATTTTACTGAAAATAAAAACTCCTCTCATTTCTTTATTCAAACAGAGCTACTATGTGAGCCCTGAAAATTCCTGATTTAGTGAGATTATTTCATAATGTACACATTTTCTTGGTAACAGAGTCAAAGATACTGATTTTTTTTTTTACTCATCTGTGATTCTATTTTTAATCTCACCTACTTCCACATAGTTATCTTACTATAATTTATGGGCCTCGAACTACTGTAAATCTTTTTTGGAAGAATATAATGTAAATAAATCTAGAAAACAAAACAAGCATTTAAAAATACCTGTTTTTTATATTTTTATAATTTACAGTGCATTTTTACATACATTATGTAATTTTTGTTTTCTCCAAAATGTAGATAGTGAAAATATTCATATGTGGCCAAAAAATAACTCCCAGGTGGTAATGCCTGAATTAGAATCCAGATTCTAAACCCTGTTTGAATAAGACAAGTCAAATATTCTGAATGTTTAGAAAGAACAAAACAAATGAAGTAAACCCAACATTGAAAACTTCGTGTAAAGGTATCAGGGTATTCTCTAACTGAAGGTAAGTATGTTAAAATTCATATGAAGTATGCTTTCCCAAACACATTTAATGCTAATCTCTGGTGTACTTTTCTTGAACTGTCGAGGAATTTATTCGTGACAAATTATTTCCTATTTATGATTTAGGTTAATCGTATATCATTTCATGAATATTCTATACTAAAACACTTTGGACATATAATTAATTTACATTCAATAGTTTAGAAGAAATAATTTACTTGTTTAAATGTGAGATATTTTGTTGAACAGAATGACAGATAATTTTTCACGCTATTTAAAATGGAGAGCACTCACAGCTTTATCTGCAAAGGTATCTTCATAAAAGGCTAGCATCAGAGCAAACTGTATAACCGCATATATCCTTAATAGTCGAGACGCTGATGATGATAAGGGAACTTCTTTCCCTGTAACCTAAGAAGACAAGAAAGAAGTCTTTCTTTTATATCACTTTCTGGCTTATTCCTCTCATTGAGATTCACACTATTGAAGATGAGTAATGCAAAATTAAATGAAAAGTTTTGCTATTATTTCCCCCCAAAATGATGCTAACATTCATTTTTTTGGACAGAAAAACAATGTAAAAGTTGGGAGACTTGTTTTCCATTTCAGAAGCATTACAATTCTGATTTAGTCTGCCTTATGTAGAGCACTTTAAGAATTTTTTTAATTAAGTTTATTGAGGTAATATTAATTAATTCGATTATATAATTTTCAGGTGTACATTATCATTTGACATCAGTATATTCTATTGTGTGTTCACCACCCAGAGTCCAATTTCCTTCAGCTACCATATATTTGATCCCCTTACCCACTTCACCCTCCCCCTATACCCCTATAATCGACCCCCTTTACCTCATCTACCTCCCCGTTCCTCCCCTACTCTGTAACCTCTGGTAACCACTAGTCTATAGTCCATGTCCATGAGTCTCTGTTTGTCCTGTTCATTTGTTGCTTTTAGGTTTATATCTCACATATAGCACTGTAAGAATTGATTCAACAATGTGTACTGATGATCAAGATAACCAAAATAAACATGAAAATATGAGATATAAAAATATGAGTACAAAAATATATCCAGGATTATATATGAAAGTATAGCAAAAGAGAAAATGGAAGGCAACTTTGGGTAGTGTAGATAATTATACCTCCAAGGGAAATACTGATGTATTGGAAATGACTTTCCCAACTACGGAGTTTCCCAGAAACACTACAATTCTATTTTATAAATGAAAATTTAAGACACAATATGACTTTAAAATTTTCCTTTAGATTCTCTATTGAAAAATAAATAAATAAATAGGCCATAGTAAATTAGACTGTTTTGGAACTGAAATAAACAAAATATTTTCACCTATACCAAATTAGAACATTATTACATGACCAATTTTGAACATAACCAAATATCTGGGAAATTCTGACACAGCAGCTTTCATGACTAGATGAGAAAACATCCTTATTTAGATCATGATTTTCTGAAAATAATAATAATACCCACATAAGACATGATTTTATTTCCTTGAAATATTGGGTAATTTTTATATTCATAATTATCATTGAAATAAACAGAAGTTTACCATTTCTCTTGTTTCAATATTACTATTAATGGAAGTTATTTTGATAAAGAATTATAATATATATCCTGAATGATTGCAAATAAATTCCTTTCCCTGTGTGTAAGAGGAACTTGAGATGAAACTGAATTTTTCATTTGGTTTCCAGTGTTTTAAGTCTCTATCTTGCTTATTTTTTTTGTTTTTAAATAGTATTTCTATATTTAACGTTATCACACTAGAGTTATAGTTTATTCCAATAACTCCATCACCTTGGTGTAACTTTTGACCTTCCATCCTGGAGATCTGTCTTTCACGAACAAAACAAAGACTAGACTGAATCATCTTTAAGGCTTTCTCCATCTCTAGTGTTTTAGGATTCTGTGATGAGTCACGTGAGTTTCTGCACTACATGAAGGCTGTGGGTTTTAGGTGGATCTGAAAACCAGTCTCCCCTGTTCTGTCCCCTAAACCATGTTCCCTGGTAAGAGGCAGTGTCTGCCTGGGAAAAGGCACCCCTCTTATTGGCCCCTAGGTGGTGTTCACTCATTAAGTTATGCACCACAAGGCTGCTTGTGCCTAAGGGAACATCTTTTCTTTTTCGGATTTACATAAGTCAGCATATATACAAGCTGGCTATATACTGGACAATATGAGACTAATCTTCACTATCATCAAACCCATGAACTCTACTTACCTCTGGGATTTCTTCACTCAGTCCAAGTCTTGGTTTACCTGGACCCCATCCTGGTCCTTTAAATATGACAGAAAACTTATTGAAGAATCCAGGTGTGGCCCAGAATGTAGTCCATATGTAAACTAAATGGTGGAACTAGAAGAATAAAAATACAGTTTATTTAAAATAAGAAAAAGTCTTAACAAAAAAGATTAAATACAATAATCATGTATTTTATTTTATTGTTTAATGTAATGTACATATTTTCTTTAATATATAGGTTATATATAATTGCATTATTATTAATTAATATGCAATTGCATTATAGATTACAATTCATTCTATGCATTATGCATTCTTTTAAATTTAAATATTGTCAATATTTCTGAAGCTCCACAAAAATATAATTTTGAAATTAAAAAATAGACTGTTTAGAAAATCAGCAAAGTAGAAAAAATGAATTAAGGGGATTTGCATGCAATGAAATTAACTAGCAGCCTGTGTACTCAATATCTATGTCTAATGAATTCTTTAATAAAGTCTTACTAAGTGGATATTAGGTTGAATGTGAAAATATACAAACACTGCACATATGAAACATTTAAAAATAATCTTTTATTTACTGTATTGAGTTATAGATAAACATGTCATTTTAAGGAACACTATTCAAAGCTATATTTCTCTTCGAATTAAAAGACACACACAGACTAAAAGTAATGAGATGGAAAAAGATATTTCATGACGGACCTAGAGGCTATTCTACTCATTCAAATAAATCAGAGAGAGAAAGACAAATGCCATATGACAGCATGTATATGTAGAATCTAAAGAACAAAACAAAACAAAATAAAACAAAACAAAACAGAAACAAGCTCATAGATATAGAGAACATTTTGAGGGTTACCAGATGGAAGGGAGGTTGGAGGAGTCAGTGAAAAAGAGAGAATGAATTAAGAAGTACAAATTGGTAATTACAAAATAGTCATGGAGATAGAAAGTATAATATAAAGAATATAGCAAATAATATTGTAATAACTATACACAGTGTCAGAAGGGCACGATTTATTGGAGTGATCACTTTGTGAGTTCTATAGATGTCTAATCGCTATGTCGTACACCTGAAACTAAGATAATATTGTATGCCAACTAAACGAACAAACAAAAAGTTATTTCTGATAGTAGACTTCTAAGTATTAAATAGACTATATTCTATAATAAGAAAAGGAAAAGTTTGCTGAGTCAAAAGTTTGCTTTGAGGCTTATAGCAGGAATCCACACTCTTTAAATGACACATATTTGTTGTGTACAGAAGTTAAAAGTATGCCCGTTCATAATAAATACCCAATAAATATTAGTTATTAGGATAATTAGCTATAAATGCCATACTTGTCATCATAATGCATCATAGGATTAAAAATAACCCTAGAGGTTGGACATCAGCTATAGACTCTAGAAATGAGTTCTATTACAAGTGTAGTAATAAATTAATGTAGAAAGAAGTTTTGACTCCATCAGAATTTGTGGTCTCACTGACATTTTCAATGTCTCAAAGAATTCAAATTGCTAGGATTACAAAAATCACTTTAAAAATTGCTTGAAATATTGCAATAAGGAATCTTAAGCAATTAAGGAACCATGTAGGATTTAGTGGAGAAGTTTTTGAGTAAAAAGAAAATGTTAGATGGAAACATCGTGGGGCTTTGCAATGATAATAAAACAGAAAATTAATGTGCTTAGGAGTTATAACACACATTAATATACTTCTCTGTTGTGTAGTTTTGAAAACTGGGTGCAATTTTACTGCTATCTTACTAAATACAAGCCACAAGAAATATATGGTAATGTTTTAAAATAGAGTACTTTCTCATTTATTTGCTATCCAATGCCCTGAAACTCCTGAACTCCAAAGGAAACCGAAGTGAATGATTTATGCTGAATAATAAGGGAGAAAAAAATCTCCATCTAGTGAAGGCCATCTTAAATTGCTTTTAATGTCTCCGAAGGAAAGGTGTGAAATTTAGCTGAACGTAAAGGAATATAAATGAAAGTAAGTATATGTTTTCACAGTTTCAGAGCTTCTAATTATCATAACTTGCTAACTTGACATTTCTAATCATTGAGTGAGCATGTGGAAGACTAAACTTAAGACACAGTTGTGACAATTACTACACTAAAGGAAATGATTATGTGAGGGGTACATGCTCGAAGGTTTGAACGTGATGTAGATTCAACAGCAGCTCAAAATACTTGCGATTGTCTGAATATTGTCTTTCTCCAAATCCTAATCATCTAATTATTTGTGCATCTCATGTTATACAGTTCTCAGTCTCTGATTCTGTCTCAATATGAACTGCTTTTCTTCAGCAAGGGTGCGCACTTCTAAAGCCTTTCTACTTAAAACCAGCTGTGAATCATAGATGTCACCTGGGAGCTCATCAGAAACAGAATCTTGGACAGACCTGAGACCTACTGAACAGAATCTGTATTTCACTAACATTCTCCCATGATTCGTATGCACATTAAATTTGAAAGTCTCTCTCATAGAGGACAGAGACCAAGTTGTCTATTTCCTTTTTAATCTCCGCATGACAGAGACAGGATTATACCAAGTGGAAAAAGTAGCTCTCAATGTATTATTTCTAAATTGGTTTCAATTCTATAAAGCTTATTATTAAGAAAGCACCCTGAAATATTTCTTTAGCATTCTCCCGAGTGATACGTTCTTAGTAATGAGAGGGAGGGAGGGAGGGGGAGAGAGAGAGAGAGAGAGAGAGAGAGAGAGAGAGATGCCTTGTAGATAAGAAAAAAAGAAATTATCAATTTTTCTATTTCAAAGTGTGATATAAAAATGCCTTTAACCTGAAAAATTAAGGCAATTTGTGATGGCTTTTTCTGTAAAGAGGCAGCACAGTGTAAAGTTTACACAGAGTTAAGCAAGTTTTGGGCTTCACCAGTAACCCGTCTTGGTTAAGTTTGCAGTTGACAAGCTCTGTGTAGTTGGGTGAATTATTTAAACCCTGGGAACCGCAGTCTCATCCACGAAAAAAATGGGGCTAAACAGAACCATAAGGTTTCAGTAATGATTACATTAAATATTTGTTCCGAGCTGTTAGCAATGCCCTGAACATAGTAAAAACTCAATAAATATCGATTTATTTTGTTATTTCAACTTAAAATTTTGAAGAATTTTGAAAATTAGACCCAACATGAACCTGTAATTTCCTCCCTTACTGAACACTGGAAACCCAGCCCACTGGACAGAACTGTCACTGACTGACCTCTTTTGTTTTCTAAGCATTCTTATCTTTTTCTCATTTACTAGTCCCTAACCCCAGGAGTGTTTGTGGTGGTCTGTTGCTGACAAATCGAAGCTTCACAGACATTCCTCATTTCTCTAGTGCCAACCATTGAGACCAGTGAACAACCAATACCACATGTCTAACAGAAAACTGGTCTAGTACGAGTTGTAGTAGGTGAGGTAATGTGCAGACCTAACCAACCCATAATAGCTCCTGACACTTAGATCCAAGAGGATTAGGGCAAAGGCCTCATGTTGAATTTTTAACCAGAGTCATACAGACTTGAAGCAAATATTTTTCTTACTGTAGGGTCAGCCTTAATTATACATTTTACTACCGCTCCTTCTGAATGCATAAATATATTTCAGGTCTATTCTGAGAAAAAATATGTTTGCTAAAGAAACATTTTATATTCATATTTTAAAATTCTTATAAATTGTTTTTCAAATACATTTTGCCCAATTTGATTCAAATCTTTGAGCGCTAGTTATTTTCAAATTCTTTTACAGTTAAAAAAATATTTGGGGAAGGTAGAATAATATACTACCACCTTTCAAAACTAATTTTCATTTTAAATATGTTTATGATAGAATATAATCAATTCAGAAAGAATAAAACCAAGTACATTACCTGCACCTTGAATGGATCAAATGTATTAATGGGATGTGTCAGACCATATACAACTTTTTTATTCTCTGCCTCGAAGGTCCCTGAAAGATAAACATTAGGGATATGGTGTTTGGCTTTCTGTGACTTAAGGAACTAATTAATATTTTTTATTCTGGTACTGTTTACTTACCAAAAATTCTATCCCATATAATAAGAGTGCCGGCATAATTTTTGTCTATGCAATAACGGTTTCTGCCTATGAGAAAAATATTAAAAATATATATTTTAAAGAATGAAGTTATGCTTTTTGGAACATTTCATCTTGTATTTTAGAATCCCTTCAGAAATTAAGACTTAGGTAAGGGAATGATTTTCTAGGAATGTCTTTTTAATAACAACACTAGCCTTTGCTAGTAAAGAATTTTTATTTTATTTATTTTTCAGTTAGTTTTACAAAAAAAGCAAAGATTTCCTTAAAACTGTATATAAGTAGCTGGGCATAGTTACTTTAATAATAGTAAAAGACAATTGTATCCAATGGTTTTAAATCAAAGGATAGAGAATATTAACCCACCAAATCACTGCTCTAATACTCAACTACCCTCATGTCTTTATATACCTTCCCTACATGCAAATGTACATTCAAAAGTGAACACAAAAGAAAAATCTCCCATAGTGCAAAAGTTGAGTGGGGCTGACTACACAGATGCACAACCCATGGCCATACATGGGTTGTGCATGGGTAAACAGTGGCTCTAAGTTAGAAGTCAGGGGCATTGTTGGTAATTACAACTGGGAGGGGACATTATCAGCATCTCGTGTGTCAAGACCAACACCCTATAATGCACAGGACACTCTCCCTGCCCCCAAAGAACTGTCTGATCTCTTTAAAATTAATATTAAAATGTTAATAGTGCTGAGGCTGAGAAACTCTGATATAAAGAAAGCAACATGTGTGGGAAGGTGCTCTGAAGTCAGAGGAAACTAGCAACTATTTCTTCTTTGAGGTGGACTTGGTTTTCTCCACTCTTTTATACAGAGGGAACCCTAGGAGTATAACACTCGGCCTCTCCAGCTCTCACTAATGATTCATTCCCTCGAGGTGGAAGAATAACTGTTGAATTTGGAAGAGGAAATTGAACATGTGCAGCCTGACCCTGTTCTCTCCTCTTTTGAAGGGAGCTTGTGCTTCTCTGTTCCCTGCCATGGGAAAAGGGACCTGCCCCCTTGGGAAGGCAGGCTTGCAGTGCTCCAGTGATGCCTGACTTCTGGAAACTTACAAAAACAGAATAGTATTCATTCTTTTATTATCAGCTTCTTCCTCTCAACATTGTGAGATTTATTCATGCCATTGCATGTCGTAATAGTTTGGGCATTGTCATTGGCATATAGTTCTCCATTATATGAATAGTCTACACTTTATCTGTTCTACTGCTGATAAATATGTGAATTATATCTCTCTTTTTTTTTTCCTATTACAAATAATGCTGATATGCATATTCTTGTCTGGGTCTTTTTGATGCACAAATGTAAACATTTTTATTTGTTAAGCTGGTGTCTTTAAACCTTAGGCATTAGCCACATGAAATTTTCTCTTCATTGGATCCTCTTGAATTTGTTCACAGATTTTAAGCAGAAAAGTGAAGTGTTAGGCTTTCTTCAAATCTGAACAATTCTCAAGACCAGGAACTTTCTCTGGTTCTAAATAGAAATGACCTTCAGCATTGGGTCAAGGAGTGGCCTTTAAGACATAAAGTGTATAACCACTCAGCTGTTTAACTCATTTGTCCACCACAACTGAGACGATTTAGACAAAATGGAAAATCCAAAAGCCAGATATAAAAAAGGTGAGCTTTTTGGGGGGTGGAGGAGGGGGGAAGAGGGGTGTTTATTTTTCATCAGATCTTATTTTGGAGATAAAGCTTGTCTAGATGCAAAGGCAGAAATAATGCCTATTTGGACAGTGTGTGACGATGTTGGGTAATTGTGATGAAACGATGCAAAATAATATCATTTTTAACCCATTTCCCATTTGCCCTGAGAATACTCACTGGCAGTGCTTGCAGTTGTAGCATTTACCCTGAGATAACTTGCAGATTACAGTCCTAACCTTACCTCCAAAGTTTGTCATGAAATATCTCGCTTTTATTATTATTTTCTCATTGCTCTAGTATATCCATAGTCTTTGGAAATAAATGACATCATTCTATTTATAGTATTCTGTTTTTAGTAGTGGTATTTCCATTTACAAAATATAGTAATTCTCAATCACTGAAAATGTCAAATCCTAGAAAACATAGCATTCCTATATGTGATGTTAACATCATTCTTGAACAGTTGTTAGCTGAAGATTTATTTAAAATATCCAATTTATGAATACATTTCAGTTACATTAGGATTAGAGGCAAGTTATGTTTAGAAATAACTCCAAGAACAGTTTTTATATTTTATTTTCACATTGAAAACCAGTCAGATTTGCTTTGGCTTCAAAGAGCATGTTTATGTAAAATTAATGCTGGCAGTGAGCTGTACTTTTTAAAAATTCTAAACAGGAAATGAGTGAAATTTATGAAAAAGGAAAGAAAGAAGATGTCAAATTTTCTCACCATGATGAACCCTATGATGGCTAGGAGTGTTAAGAATCAGTTCCAAAGGACCAAGGTTATCAATGACCTGTTTAAAACAAAAGGAATATTTATACATACAGTTATTATTAAATATATATGTATTATAGAAGTACTCACATCAGAACCCCACATGGGTTAGGCGATACTGCAAGTTTCAGGGTTGGTAGCAGAATCGGAAGAAGTTTTTCTATCACCTGGTATTCATATAAAGATAAAAATAAGCTCATAATTCTATTCTGAGAGTCCACTGTAAGTTAAGAGCTAGACTGCCTCAGTTTGGTTCCTGGATCCTTCATTTATTAATATGTTATCTTGGGAAAATAACTTAAGCTTTTTATAATTGTTTTGTCATCTTTAAAATGGAAATAATAATGGTATCTACATAATAATATCCTGAGAATGCAAAATGGTACTGTAAAATGGTGCTATTGCCCAGGCATACTTCTCTCATTTTATTTTTACCTTTCAACTATATCTTTGACAATTTATGTTAGTAGAGCAGAAATACGGGAGAAAAAATAACAGTATTGTATTCATTTTATGGGTTTGGTTTTACCTAATATAATATATAACAACAACTTATTGCATCTGTTATCTATTGCACTAAGGTGATTGTTTATTTAAATAGAATCCTAATTGGTCTCTGACCTATAGATACACCATCTACCAGTATATCCTAGAAGCATAAATCAAAGTCAAACATATAAAATATATGATTTTTTTTTTGCAATTAAAGACCCTCCAAAATCTGTTCTATAACTTTATAATGTTCTCTCTCAATTTTTCTCAGTAAGTATCCCCTATTTCAGAGTGTGTACATCCTAAGGAGTATAGGAACAGGGTAGATGTCATAAACGAGAAAAGCAGGCCATGTGTAAGACAGTTGGTATGTTATACAATACATATTCGGCAATGTGGGAGCCCTTTTAATCGCGATCACATTTTCCTTTCTTCCATTGACAGTGGCAGATAATAGAATATTTTATTTTTCCTTAATCACTGTCTAAATGGATTTATTAGACCCTACCAATGACAAAATCAATATAATGACAAAAACAATACGATATTTTAAGAAATTACTCACCCCTAGTGTTGACTTCCATTTAGATGATATATGAGAAATATAGGAATAAGTTAAATGATGCTTAAAGGAAAAAACCCAGCCACTGACGATCATGACACTGACATAAATTTGATAACAATTCAATGATATGAGAAAAAAAAAGTCAGTGAGATGGGATTGCTTAAGATAAAAAGATATTTAAAATTTAATAACCAATGTAGTGTGAAAATCTTATTTGGATGCTGATTTGAACAAGTCAATCATAGAGATATTTTATAGACAATGTGGGATATTGATTATAAACAGAGTACTATTTTTATTGGCAGTTATTATGACTATCATTGTATAAGAAAATGTAACTGTTTTTCAGAGTTGTATAACTGAATTATCTAAGACAGGAGATTTAAGTTTTGCTACAAAATATTTAGCAATGTAAAATAAAAAGAAAAAATGGGATAGCTGATACAAACTAATCAAAACTACGATGATTTTTTAATGGAAGTAATGGAGACATGTAAATGCACTTTATTATTCTTTCTACTTCTCTGAATATTTGAAGATTTTTAAGATAAAATTTTAAATAAAAAAAATTGTTACTCTAGTCATATATAGCAGTGCTCAGTTAGCCAGTTGAAAATATTAATAGATCCCTGAAGTCCCAAACATACTTCTAAATTGCAACTCTATATAGCAGGGTTTCATCATTTTTTGGCAATCTCTGACATTAAAAAATCCAATTTACAAGTGTCTGCAAATGTGAATTGCTACAGTAGCCACACCATCCTCAGCTTGTGAGGTCCTGTAGCCTCTTGAAGTAGAAAATATGGTAGTATTGCCACATAACAATGCTGCATCCCTCCATGGGGCAGGTGCCACCATCTCATTAAATCCATTGTTAACACACCTGAAAGAAACAGTCATTGCCTGCCATCCTGCTGCCCAGTTTCTAAGGGATTCTCAACTTTCTACTATGGAACTGACAGAAATGTTTTCATGCAAAGGATATATTATATTATGCGTGTTAATTTAAGTCAGTCAGTCTCTCTCTCTCTCTCATTCTCTCTCTCTCCCTCCCTCACCCTCCCCCACAAGAGTCTATCACCATTTTTAAAGTTATTTTCATGGGAAATGTATTATGAGCTTCTAATAACAGATTTCTTGATTAGTTCATTGAAATGAACTTATTTATACACAAAGGACTATATATTTTTTAATTTCAGAAATTCAAAATACTGTGAATATATAATTCTTGATCAGACTACAGTCCTATGAAATAAGGTATTATGCCACTAATACAATATTAATAACCAGTAATTGGGAGGAGAGTAAGTAGAAATAACTCTGTATTTTATTGGAACCCACGGCTTTGTTTTTGGTGGAAAATATTTATTGAGAAGTAGAATGGTGATGGATAGAGAACAAGAAAGTGGGGCTTTCTCAGTAGTCAGAACACTGAAACCTGATGCTTTGGTTGGGCTTTGGATCTCTGGCAGAGAACCAGTTGGGAAAGGAGAAAAACATTTTATCCTTGTTTGTCTCTGTGTGCCTAACATATGTTACAAAAACAGACAACAAAAAGCGGTGGAGAGTCTACACTAGCTGGGGTCTGCTACCCAGATGCACTTCTAATCCTTGGTCCTGGCATATGTGCAGCCAGATATAAAGCCACACAAATGGCGAGCGCATTCAGATGATCGGAGCCTTGGCTGAGTACATTATTTTTTTAATGTCAAGCTCTTT